AGTGTGGTTTATGATGGATGAAAGGAAAAGCAAGATGCCTGGACCAACCCAGAACAGGTGGATGCTGGCTGGGCATGAGTCGAGTGGGTGATAACATTACATGTAAACCTCTACTCAACCCCAGCTAGCTCGATAGGTACTGTACTGTAGCCATGATACTGCGCCAATCCAATCCAACAAGCTGACTCGCCACAGGGTCTAATTACTGACTCAGTTCCTGGTCTTTTGAAAGGGTGTAACCCCTTAGGCTGAACTAACTAACCAACCCAGTACCCATTACCCATGTCTTTCCAACGGGGAACTTGCGTCTATCCATAGCTCTTGGAGCCTGCCACCTATTAGCCACAAAGAAAAACAACGAGTCCTTCCTCTGTCACTCTCTCTGGAAATATTCTAATCTGCCAGAAGCAATGCACAAGTTCTAGACTCTTTCCGGAGATCCAATTTGATCTTCCGCTGCAGGGTTCTCACTAACCAGTGGTCCAGGGGGTTTTACTGGTACAATAGCAGAGGGGAGAGGAGATGATGGCAATCGTGCAGATTTAGGTTTGGGTTACTTTTCTATCGAATGCATAACTTTACTGATACACACACACACACGCACGCACACACAAAGGTCGATGTACACATCAGTATATCAGGAGCAAGGGCCTCCAGTAGATCAATCTGTCAATTGAATCAGCGCCAGCGCCAGCGCCACAGGGGGCGTTCAGTAAATCGCGCAGCTCTCTCTGTCTTCCTGCTTACCGTCCCATCAACCATATCATTTCCTTCCCACGACTCAGTCCGACCCCGACGCAAGGGAGCGAATTGCGATGAGGAATTTTCACCACCTCATCTCTGCTGTGAGTGTTATCATGACTGGGTGGATTGATTTTCCAACCCAACGAGGCATATCCATATCTCTCTGTACCGATATCTCTCTACCGGTCTACGTACCTATCAATAAACCACGCATGCAATGGATCAAACAATCAATTCCCGCATTGCTTGGTTACCGGTAAGTTCCTCGATAAGAGAAGCTACAACATTCCTGACAGGTGGCCAGGGAGGGATGGCAAGATCGTGATGATCGCATTCCCGGTACGGTACCGATGGATCTACCGCGCTGTCTTCCCTTCACTACTCCGTACCGTAGATGTCTTTCCCCTTCCCCTACCGCGGTGGAGCTGGAGCTGGAGCTGGGATTTGCGTCTTTGCTTCTCTTTGCTTGTTTTTCTGTGCCTGTGGGCTGGCTACAGCCTGAATCTATCCGTACCCGTGATTTAGGCCGTAATGTCATTCGTCCGGATGGGAACTTCCCCGTTCCAATTCTTCCTTGTCACTGCAGCCAAACTCAGGGCTCCAGTTAGTAAGTAAGAGTCTCGGGGGGAAGTCCGGGTTCGATCGGTTTGTGGGAAGCTAGGATGCAGCACAGTTGTTTCCGTCGCGCGGCTGCTAGCTTCCCTGCCTAGGAAGTCACCTAGTTAAGTTACTACTAGCTACCCACCTACCCTGTTGATGGGAGGTCCGTTCGATGGTTCGGGCTGTGTTCGTCCCGGTCCGATTTTGCTTTTTCTCTTTTGCTTAAAAATTGGTCCGGGTTACGGGTGATACTTCAGATGCAGATACTGGAGGTGCAGGTGTTTGAGAGGTGGTGTGGTGCGGTGGTTGTCTTAGGGCAAGGTTACTAGATACATAGTTTGTTGTGTTGGGAGAAGGGCTGAGCTCTTGACTGATTTGCGAGGTACAGTGTGATGCTTACATCCTGGATTTGCTTTTCTGGTGTGCTTTTTTGGGGAGGGGGAAGGGGAACGCCAGCAGGGGGTAGGGCAGTTTGACAGGCGTTTGGTTTCGTGAACTGTTAACTGCCTACGGAGTACCTAGGAAGCCGTTGCTTGAGTCAGGGTCTCAGTGGTTGCTTGTACAGTAACTTAACTTATTGGCCAGGCCAGGGTTACAGTAGTTAGTGCTCATGGGGATGGGAGGGTACGGAAAGCTAGTTCGGTTTGTCTGGCAAGTTACATTGCTTTAACTAGTATTCTACCTAGGCCTGCTTACAATCCCTGCGTGGCTGCTAGTGTAGATCGGGTATGGTCCGGGAGGTGAGAGGTCTAGACAGCCTGAGCCTAACTTACCCCCCGTTTTATGAAGCCAGCGGGCAGTGCTGGAGCACTACAAATTCCAGGTTACCTGTTGAGACATGTGGAAAATAGTCTGACTTGGTTGTTCCGCTGCATCTTCTAACATTACATGGATGTCGTGGGTGTTTGTTGCCTCTGTCTTTGGCGACGTGATGTATCCGTCTCCTTTCGCGTTCCTTACTGTCTCAGACACAGCTCGCGTTCGCTTCCAAATACCATGCCTGGAAAGGATCCTGGCTGGTGCTCTGCGGCTTGAAGACCCTGTCTTGCTTGCTGGAATTGGGTGTCTTGAATAATTCCAGGTAATGGAGTTGATGGTTTGGGTTTCCATGGGTCCAGGCAGGTGTGCTGCTCATGGCTACGGTAAGTCAGGGGAGGGAGGGATTGGACTTCAATGTCTCAATTGAGCTGAAACAATTATAAGCATCATCATCATTAAGTGATAGGTCATGGCGATTTCGTTCCTCCCTCATGTTCATCGATCCATCACGGCAAAGAAGATCACGAGTTGGTGTTCGTGCCGTACTTCTCAACACATCCATGTGCCATCTCGTACTGCAAGAATTCAAACCCACGAGCGTCAGCCTCCCATGTTCCCTCCATCGTTCAAGGCAGTGGGAGACAGTTTCACTCACCTGTTCATCGGTCTGGCAAATCAACACCCGCGGTCCCCTGGATCCACCAGCCTTTGAAACATCCACCACCGTCTGGCCCTCGCCCGGGCCCTTGTCGTTGGACGCCTCGTCGATAGCGAAACCGAGACACTGGCATCGCTCGATCACCGCCTTCCGCAGGAGAGCGCTCTTCTCGCCAATGCCTCCCGCAAACACGAGGGCGTCGACCTTGCCGCCCAGCTTCAGGTAGTAATTCCCGATGTAGCCGAGGATACGGTCTACGATGATATCGAACGCGAGCTTGTGGCTGGGGCTCGGGGGGTTCTCGACGGCGATCTGGGAGAAGTCGGTGGTGCCCGTCAGGGCCTTCCACCCGGATTTCTTGTTGAGGATTTCTTCGGCCTAGGCGAGGGGGGTCAGCTGCGCTGCGCTACACTTTGAGCAGTGCCCAAAGGACATCCATACCGTGCTGATGTGCATTTCTTTGGTGCTGGCCGGGCTCAATTTGCCTGCTTCGCTGGTGTAGTGGAATACGAGTCTGGTCACATTGTCTCCTTAGCCTTGTTCTTTGCCCCAAAAAAGTTGCTAGGGTTCTCCCTTACGATGGATCGATATCTCCGCTTCGCGTCGCTCCCGGTAGTCCCGCCAGAGGAGTCAAGCCCATCCTGTACACAAAGATTAGTGTCTAACTTCAACCGACGATCAAACTGCAAGCGAGGCATCTCCCTTACGTGGTATCGACCGATTTGCCATCCTTGATTGCACACATCGAAGCGCCGCTTCCGACATGCATCGCGATCACGCTGGTTTGCTCCACGGGCTTGTTGAGGAATTCCGCCACTGATCGCAGGATATACGAGTAGCTGATGCCATGGAAGCCATACTTCCGGAGACCCTTGGATTTAGCGACTTCCGGATCGATGGGGTACGTGCGCACGTGCTCGGGGATCGTCTGGTGGAATGCCGAGTCGAAGAACGTGATGCTTTTCACGTCGGGAATCTCGGTCCGGCAGTGACGGATGATTTCCAGGGCTGAGAAGTTGTGTCTGTATTCCATTGTGTAAGTCTGGACGGTAGGAACACCAATATCGCACATCAGGCCGGGGGGGGGGGGGGGGGGCGGGTGGAGTCTAAAAAACATACAAAGGAGCCAGATCCTCCAATTTCTCCAAATGGTGATAGGTCTCGTCGGTGATCACCACGGAGGAGTCGTAGTCACCCCCGTGGACGACGCGGTGGCAGATGTAGGCCAGATCGTCCTTGCTGCCGACTTCCGACAGTTCCGGGTCGGAGACGCAGCGGTCGAGGAGGAACTTGAAGGCGTCTTGCGGGGTTCCGATGCTTTCCTTGATCTCCTCGGTGTGATTCTTCTCGCCGCAGGTGTACTTGAGCTTGGCGGGTGGGGCGGTGATGCCGGAGACCTGCGCGGTCGCGATCACCTTGGGGTGCTGCTCGAAGGTATAGAAGGTGAGTTTGACCGAGGAGGAGCCGGCATTGACGGAGAGGATGGACTTGCGGGGCATGGTGAGGGGAATTAAATAAATTATAAGTGTTGAGTAGGTAGTGAGAAGTGAGAGGGGAAGGGAGGGGATTTTGGTAGGCGGGGTATGTATGTACAAGATGCAAGGAGATAGATCTCTATGTAGCAGTTCGAAGAGTCCGTCAATTTTCCTGGCTAGGCCGGCCCTATAGTTATATGTGACTGTCTAATAATCGAAATCTCGGAGTTGCATTGCCGTATGGGTCCAGTTGCATGTGTGATCTTGCAGGTGGGCAGAGCAGTTCTTGGAAGTTGTTCATAGCTCTGGAAGATTGGTGGGGAGAAAGATAGCGAAAGTGGTTGAAAGTGGTTGGGTGATGTCAGAGACCCTTCACCAGGTGACGTAGCGGGAAGCCAAAAAAAAAATAGCAGGTCGAGTCGGACAGGATACAATGTCAAGTTTGTCAACACCGGGCTTATTTCAAGCTGCATCTCCCCTCTCCCTTAACCTGGTGGCCTGATATCTTTCTCGTGCTTTGCCTGTCTTTGTCTAATCATTTACCCTGCTGTCCTCCACGTGGGATTTATCCAATCCTCGCGTATACTTCTACTACTCGCTTCCTACTTTCTCCGTTACCTTATCGCGATAAGCCCAGCCTACTCCCCAAATACACCCACGGGATACAGTATCAGCCCATCATGCCGGGAGAAGTCATCGATCGGCCGAATCCCAAGCCGGAACCATCCCACATCCCTGATCTCGTCGAACAATTGCAAGTCCAACTCCAGACAACTAAGCTAGAGGAATCAGACTACAATGCTTTGCAGAAGTATCGTCGTGCGGCGGCGTACATCGCTGCTGGTAAGCCAGCCAGCCAATCCATCACCACCATTGTCACACAAACATAAAACTAATGGCCGAATGTGTTTACAGCGATGATCTTCCTTCAGGATAACGTGCTGCTGAAACGTGGATTAAAGCATGAGGACATCAAGCCTCGACTCCTGGGTGAGTTTACCCTCATACCGGTTCCGCCGGTTCCGTTCCAGAACCACAGCAGCAGCAACAGCAACAGCAGCTCATACTTCTTCCGCAGGGCACTGGGGTACATGTCCCGGGTTGATCCTGGTGTACTCACATCTGAACTACCTGGTCCGGAAGCAGGATTTGAATATGCTCTACGTGGTTGGACCAGGCCACGGCGCTCCGGCTCTGCTAGCCTCCCTCTGGCTGGAGGGCTCATTGGGCAAATTCTACCCCGAATATTCGCGCAACATGGACGGTCTCCGTCAACTCATCTCGACCTTCAGCACGAGTGCTGGACTTCCTAGGTAACGAGAACGACTTGCTTGCGGTTGAGGTTTGCTCCTGGTAGACATGTTGCTGACCTCCTTTTCTTCCCTTCCAACAGCCATATCAATGCAGAAACTCCCGGTGCGATTCATGAGGGTGGTGAACTGGGTTATGCCCTGGCTGTCTCGTTCGGTGCGGTCATGGATAACCCGGATCTTATTGTCACCTGTGTGGTTGGTGATGGAGAAGCGGAAACCGGTCCGACTGCCACGTAAGTCCATTCCATCCGGTGGTCGTCGTCCGTTGGTTGGCATATGCTGATGCTGATTCTGATGATGTTTCAAGCTCGTGGCATGCCATCAAGTACATTGACCCCGCTGAGTCGGGCGCCGTCTTACCCATCCTCCACGTCAACGGATTCAAGATTAGCGAGCGCACCATCTTCGGGTGCATGGACAACAAGGAACTCACCACTCTTTTCACGGGCTACGGCTACCAAGTCCGCATTGTTGAGAACCTGGAGGATATTGACACCGACCTTCACAACTCCATGGCGTGGGCGGTTGATGAGATCCACAAGATCCAGAAGGCTGCACGTTCGGGCAAGCCAATCATGAAGCCTCGTTGGCCGATGCTTGTGCTGCGCACACCAAAGGTAGGTTCTTATGCAGCCAAACTTCTGATAATCGGGGAAAGCTAATTTGTAATATCGAAGGGCTGGTCTGGACCCAAGGAGCTTCATGGAACGTTCATCGAAGGTTCATTCCATTCGCACCAGGTGCCTCTCCCCAACGCGAAGAAAGACGAGGAGGAGCTTGCTGCTCTGGAGAAGTGGCTTTCTGCTTATGGTCCGAACGAGCTGTTCACCGAAGGTGGTGATATCATCGATGAGATCAAGTCCGTGATTCCTGCAGATGACGAAAAGAAGCTGGGCCAGCGAGCCGAGGCCTACAAGGGGTACATGGCACCGGAGCTCCCCGACTGGAAGGAGCTAGGCGTGGAGAAGGGCACCCAAGAAAGTGCTATGAAGGCGATTGGCAGATTGATCGACCAAGTGTTCACCAAGAACCCACACAGTGTCCGACTGTTCTCTCCGGATGAGCTGGAAAGTAACAAGCTCGACGCTGCTCTGTCGCACTCCGGAAGAAACTTTCAATGGGATCAGTTTTCAAACGCCAAAGGGGGTCGCGTCATCGAGGTGCTGAGTGAACATCTGTGCCAGGGCTTCATGCAAGGTTACACCTTGACCGGCCGCACCGGTATCTTCCCGTCCTACGAGAGTTTCCTGGGCATCATCCACACGATGATGGTGCAGTATGCCAAGTTCAACAAGATGGTGAGTTGACTCAAGCCCTCCCCTGTCTGTTGCCTGTTGGTACTGATCTTAGTAGGCTCAAGAGACGTCCTGGCACAGCCCTGTGAGCAGTCTCAATTACATCGAGACTAGCACTTGGGCCCGGCAGGAGCACAATGGATTTTCTCACCAGAACCCATCCTTCATTGGTGCAGTTCTCAAGCTGAAGCCCACGGCCGCCCGCGTGTACCTGCCGCCTGATGCCAACACTTTCCTATCCACGCTTCACCATTGTCTCAAGTCCAAGAATTACATCAACCTGATGGTGGGCTCCAAGCAGCCCACTCCGGTGTACCTCAGCCCGGAGGAGGCAGAGAATCACTGCAGAGCGGGTGCGTCGATCTGGAAGTTCTGCAGCACTGATGGGGGTCTGGATCCTGATGTTGTGCTCGTCGGCATCGGCGTCGAGGTGATGTTTGAAGTCATCGCTGCAGCGGCTATCCTCCGCAAGCGTTGCCCCGAACTCCGAGTCCGGGTTGTGAACGTGACGGACCTGATGATCCTTGAGAACCACGGGCAGCACCCGCATGCTCTGACGACGGAAGCCTTCGACAGCCTGTTTGGATCCGACCGACCCATTCACATCAACTACCACGGATACCCGACTGAGCTGAAGGGGCTGCTCTTCGGCCGGCCTGGTCTGGACCGGGTCACCATCGAAGGATATATGGAAGAAGGCAGTACCACAACTCCGTTCGACATGATGCTGTTGAACCACGTTTCACGTTACCACGTGGCGCAGGCAGCTGTCATCGGGGCCTCCAGACGAAACGAGAGAGTCCAGGTACGCCAGCAGGAGCTGTGTGCGGAGCTCGGCCACGAGATTGCTGAAACGCGCAAGTACATCCTCAAGAATCGGCAGGGTAAGCAAACCTCACTTTCAAACTCCCAGAATTTTGATCATTGGAACCCGTGCTGATCGTTTTGCATAGACCCCGAAGGTACTTATGAGACGCCCTCCTTTGACTGAGAAGCTGTCGGATGATTATGAGTCATGAGAAATAAGACAATCAATAGTTAATAGAGTTTTCAGATTCATTCCTTTGTGGAGATCTATCTAGTTATAGGTAGACGTATGAGTAAGTAGGGGAAATCGGGGCTTAAAGGCTATGGTCGCCAAGGGACATGGCTTCGTGTTGAGCGTCGTCCACTATTCCCAAAATGTAGAAGCTTGCGATGAATAGCGGCGAGACCGGCCGTAGAAGCCTGATTCTTTAGGCAGCACATTAATTAATCCTTCAGTGAAGCTGACATCAGAGCGGCTCACGGAGTCCTCAAACGTTATCTCCGTCTCTCAACTCACTGCCACATGGAACACGGGGCTCAGAAATGATCAGGCTGCCATATTTGTCTGGATTCCCATTGAAAGTATAGCATCATCAAGGGCGTACGTATCACGCCCTGCATGGAGACTTAGGTTTTGTTGTTTACACGAGTCGCGACGTTGACATCGGGGTTGGATCTTCCCGATCTCCGCTTCCCTGTCAACTTCTCCTCCTACGTCAGCCGGGTTAGATTGAGAGTGGTTTTCCCGACTGACGAAGCTGAAAGGATCTGGGCGCTGAAACGAGCCCTCACGCATTGTGGCCTTGGCCAACTGCAGCTGCAGCTGCAGCAACGACAGGTCACTGCTTCTATCCCATGAGACAAGCGGACACTTTATGCACGGCATTCGGCGGTGGTGATTCGCCTAACAAATGTCCCGGCCGTGGCTCTCTCGGGAGCTTCGGCAATCGTTAGGCGTTATATGTGACAGTCTAAACCCGATTCGGTGTACCTTGCGAGTCCATATCTTCGCCGCGCAACTATGGAACCAGCCAATTCCCCCGTCAGCTCTCTTTTTTGGGTCTCGCCCAAAATACCGTGGACATTCGGCGAATGAGCGGTTTGGTTTCCTTGATGGTCCTGAATTACTAATGGAACCGGCCAGGGACCATCACCCCGGGGGTGTGAAACAATCAATTAGATTCTCAGGTAGCACAGATTTTCACCGTCTTTCTCGACAAGGCTGGCTATGATGGGTGGCCCATAAAACAGAGTACAGGGGATTCCCTCCCCCAGGCAGACATGATGTGATACGAATAGGATCAAACGTGGGTGGGCTTGGAAACCAAGGTTTTGGAAGGATCGCGCGGCGCGTTGGACAGTACACAACGTACCTTACCCTTACCCTGGCTCCATACAATCGGATCTGACCCTGAGAGTCTTGCCTGTGGCTCGGCCACTCGTTTTTCTTTCTCATCTCTGCATTCACAGGTGGAGCAATTCCGTTCACCCTGTGGAGTAATCCCGTTCCCTCGCTTGGTCTTATATAGCACGGCCCCGGTGCTATTTTCTCTGCGGCTTTTTGTATCTTCTCCTTTTTTCCCTGCCTCTGTGTGTTTTGAGGTCTAAGAACTGTTCACGCCATCTATCTACGAGTCTTGATAAACGTCCGAACGTCTCTGTGATTATTGTGGCTGTCGACTAGGATCTAGTTCAAGATGAGCAACAGCACGCTTGCGGCTCAGGCCGAGTTCCGCCAGTCGTTGAGGGAGGGCTGCCATGCTTACGTGGAGGGGTATGGCACATCATATGGCTACCAGCCATCACTGGCCGCAGGCATCGTATTCTGCGTGCTCTTTGGGGTCTCCATGCTTGCGCATCTGGTGCAGATGGTATGGAAGAGGACATGGTGGTGTACGGTATTCGTCCTCGGGTGTGCTGGTACGTCCCCATCCTGATCTTTTCACATCTGGTCTGCCTGCGCGCGAACTGACAAGCTTCTTTCCAGTTGAACTCATCGGTTGGGCCGGTCGTACATGGTCTGCAGAGTGTCCGTATAACTCGACTGCGTTCCTGATGCAGATTTCCACCCTGATCATCGGTAAGTCGCATAATCTCCCGGAAAGGCTCATACACCAAACATTGGCCCTAATCCACCACCTCGTTTCAGCCCCAACCTTCTTCACCGCGGGAATCTACGTCCTTCTGGGCCGGTTCATCGCGCTGATGGGCCCGGAAACCTCGATGCTGAGCCCCAAGCTCTACCTCTGGATCTTCGTCACCTGCGACATTGTGTCGTTGGTCGTGCAGGCCATCGGCGGCGGGCTGGCGTCGATCGCCTACAACAGCGCGGACGGCAACACCGAGCCCGGCACGCACACCATGGTGGCCGGTATCGTCTTCCAGCTGGCCTCGATCACCGTCTTCGTCCTGCTGGCGGCCGACTTCGTGCGCCGCACCCTGCGCCTCCGCCTCCTGCAGACCATGACCGGCTCCGTGGTGCCCCTGCTGGGCGCCATGATTCTGTCGGTCGTCGTCATCTACGTCCGGAGCATCTACCGCACGATCGAGCTGTCGCAGGGCTGGTCCGGCTACCTCATCACCCACGAGGTGTACTTCATCGTCCTCGACGGCGTCATGATGGTCCTCGCCGTCGCCGTGTTCAACGTCTTCCACCCCGGGTGGCTGCTGCCCAAGGGGGCCGTGAAGCCGTTCCATCGAGAGATCAACTCATTCGACATGGAGAGACGATGAATCCCGGAACGATTCGCTTCTGTTTTTGCATTTTCATTGCATGCG